GCCTGAACGGTATGTGGAATGAAGTGGGCGGGCATCGGGAGGCCACTATGGCACGGGGCAAGCACTATGGGCAGTCTATCTGAAGTGTACCTGGCGTATAAGACGACCCCCCACTTGGAGGCATATTTTTCAGGGCCAAAAAATCGTCTTATATGCCGGCAAATACGGTATGTGTGAGAGAATCATCGATGGATTGCCACCCGCAATCACTCTAGTCAGGGATAGAACCCGAACCCTGGGTATGTGCCCAGACCAGGAATCAATCTCTTGCCCTGGGAAGGCCAGACCAAATGATTTTGGGGGCCTTATATGGACCTCAGGCAGGACTTCCCCACCTCTGGATTATAAGATTGCTTTAAGAAAAGGCCTGCTACTCACAAAAAAACCTCAATACATATTATTAAATGAATCTTAGGTAATTGTTGAGCATCTCTCTACTATGATAGCATTTATGTTTTAGTTCAGAGAGGAAGGGAGAGTGAGAGAAAGATAGAAAAATCAATGATGAGAGAGAATCATTGATTGGCTGCCTCCTGGATGCCCCCCCCACAGGAATCGAGCCTGCAACCCAGACATGTGCCCTCATTTGGACTCAAACCTCCTGGTTCATAAGTCGATGCTAAACCACTGATTTATGATCCACGTGCTAGAGCAGTGATTTTAGAGCAAGTGTTTAATATTTATAATCTCAGGGCAAGAGATTGATTCCTGGTCTGGGCACATACCCAGGGTTCTATCCCTGACTAGAGTGATTGCGGGTGGCAATCCATCAATGATTCTCTCACACATAGATCTCTCTCTCTCTCTCTCTCTCTCTCTCTCTCTCTCTCTCTCCTTCTCTCTAAAATCAATAAACATACTCTTCAATGAGGATTTTTTTTGAAAGAGTAGTGGTCAAGGTATTCTTACATTAAAATATAAAAAACAACCCTGGCTGTTTTGCACAGTTATTAGAGCATCAAACTGAATGATCCAAATTAAACATACAAACACATTGAGATAAGTCAAGAAAACAGGGAGTAAATTTCAATTTATTGCTAATATAATCAGAAATATTTATTAACATTATCAATTTATTGAGTTAGAGAAGATACATCCAGGGCATTCACTCTGTGGATGGTCCTACATGGTAAACCTAGAATGGAACAAGGAGACCTGTTCTTATATTTCTTAAATTTAATGTCATATCAACTTGATTAGGCAGAACTAAAAGGACAGAAAGGAGAGCAGCAACCTG